TTTAGGGAGATACTTCCTGGTGGAAGTGAAGCCTAGAAGGTCCAATACCAAATGGTTATTGGTACTAATCGGAAGAGGGGTTTTATACAAACCGAAAGCTTCACACGTTGCTAGGTCAGCTGTGGGACTACACTCGAGGGTCATTCTTAGATTCCTCATCTGTTCGATGGAGAACAAAATGGGAACTCTCCCCTGATCCAGAACTTCTATGGTTGTATCTCTTCTTGGAGTTGTGTTGAACCATAGAGTTACACGCTCCTTGATAAGAGCTGTTTCGCTATCTGCGAAAGAGAACTTCGTGTTCGAAGGTGAGAAAGTGAAATCAATCATGCCTGGGGCACGTTGCTTCACGGCCTTGATAAGCCTGTTCACCGCATAGCGGGAACCCATAGCCCTAGTACAACCTGAGTCAAGTATGACAAAGGTAGGGTTCTTATCAAGATTGATCCGCTCTGTGAGAGCAGATAGGACGGTGTGCTGCAACGGAAACACCGCTGTTGCAGTTTCAACACCTTGCCCCTCGGATGGTTCAAAGACCTGGGGCACGTAACTCACTGATGAGTTGTACACGGGTTCTTGGTGCGCGCTCGGATCTGTGCCTCTACCTGATGATCCTGCCTGATTTCTTCTCTTCTTTCTCCGTGTCTTTCTTCGTGAGGCGTGTGATGCATAGTATGTATAAGACGTTTGATCGTTATAAGCGGCATAATTCCAACTGGAGTCAGTATAATAACTGTCCTCATACCATGAATCCCAGCTCGGTGCGGTGGAACTTTCATAGGCCTGTGTAGATCCAGTTTGGTCTCCTTGTAAGGAGGCAGACTTAGCTGTATCCTTACCTTTGCCTTTTGCCTTTGTACCTTTGAAGGAGCTTCCTTTATCTCCTTTGTCCTTTCCTTTTCCTTTGCCTTTTCCACCTTTTCCTTTTTCCTTTCCTTTACCTTTACCGAAATAGCTGGAATCAGTTGGATCATGTTCTGCCTGGTTGGCTCTCCCTTTTCCGCGGTATGACCTAAAACGGCCACGTCCTTTTCGCTTGCCACCCTTTGCTCTTCCCGGTGATCCGGGACGCATTCTTGGTCTTCTTCCCTTTTTGAATCTCCTTGCAACGAAGGCCTCATGGTCATCAACTGTCCAGAAGACAGCTTCTTCATCCTCGGCGGCAAGAAAGCCTTCCTCAAGGGTGTCTTCGTCTTGGAGCCAGAATCCATCGACTCCATCGTATTCACCCTGATCGAGGATGAGGAAGTTTCGACCTCCGCGTTTGCGGCGTTGGTCTCTCCTTCCATGGCGGTCCTTCTTGTGAGAAGAGTGCCGAATATTGGGATCCTGCAGACCAGTTCTGGTCGTTGAGAACTGATCGAACATGGTCTGCCGTACCACAGGGTACGTGTAGGTCTCAATTCGGGGACCTTGGTTGGTCAATGCTGTTACCAACCTCTCACGTTGCATCTCATTTAGGTCGGACTGCACTAGGAAGAGGAGAGCTAGGAGATTATCGTTCAGAGGAAACGCTATTCGATGATTGTCAAGGCGTTCCTTGTTCCATGTTTCGAAATAGCGTGCGGCATATGTGTCTCTGTCGGCTGCATCCTGCATGCGCAAGAAGGTTTGGTCTACCTGCACAGCTTGCATGAAATCTGGATGGGCATCCTCCAGAGCTATCTCTGGTAAGAGATCCATCCATGAGTTTTTCACGCGCTGTAGCACGATCTCAAAATTGGCAATCCAAGTCACAAAGTCTTGGTTGCCCTTCCATGCCTTGAATAGGCCGAGGAAACGCCACAGGAAAACGTACTGTTCTCCTTTCACGAAAAATGGACGCATCTTCTTCTTGAAGTAATCTACTCCATCTGGGGCTGCAAGCCTTTCTCGGTTCAGTGATTCCTTTTGTACTGCGGCCAATCCGGAGAGCATCGTCTTGAGAGACGGACCTCTTTTGGTGTCATCCAGCGTTGTTATGTCGCACCAGTCGTCAATCAACTGTTCATACTCAAACCACGACGTGGTGCCATCATAGGCAGGCGCGATCTTGGGCGTTATGCCTAATGATGCAAGCATGCGGTCAGATGTTGCATATGACTGTGCGACATAAGTGGCTGGACCTTGGGAGGGCTCTTCGTTCTCATATCCCCCGGAGGATTGGGAACTGTCGTCGGCTTCGCTATGCGAGCTCGACATTGTGCTGCCTCTTATCCGCTTGGTTAAGCGTTCGGCGAGGCCGACCGCTGTAGCGGACTTTGGGAGGCGGGCGGCCCTTTCCGGGCTCCGCTACCAGAAAACTGAGCCGATACACCCACAAGGAAATGCTCCTTGTAGGAGGTGTATGACCAGTTTATTCCCTAAGGATCAAAGGGCAGCGCCCTGCACACGGACAGTAGTTGTTTTGTCTTGCTACGCAAGGAGAGCTTGTCTTGTCTCAATATGGTAAAACCACTGTGAGCCAATGGGCAGCGGAATGTATATGTATGAGCATGCAGCCATTGCTGTAGGTACCTGTTAGAGCTACCCCTTTAGAGGTTTACGGAATCACCCCCTACCCCCCTCCCCCCCCCCCTCCCCCCTTCCCTCCCGCCCCTCCGCTCGCTGACAGGTGCGAGCTTTCTGGAGTTTTCGACGACACGGGACTGCAATGTAGCATCTTTATGTGTTGGGGCTCGCTAAAGGCTGCAGTACCAAGCGAGTTTCAAACCTGAATTCCTAACCCTACACCCTGACCCCAGCCTGAAAAATTGGGGCTCGCCTGTAAGGCTGCAGTACCAGGGGAGTTTCAAACCTAAATTTCTAATCCTACACCCATAGGGGGTAAGGGCGTGGGGCCTTGGGGTTTGGGGGTAAAGCATGAAGGCCTTCGGCCTTAGGGTTTTAGGGCTTCAAGGTCTACGGCTTAGGGGGTTAGGGGAAGGCTGTCCTATTCATTAACTTCGGTTGATGGTCAAAATCCTGCAGTGCCCAGTATTAAGGAATGTTCCATAGTTGCCATAGTTTAGAACCATGCAGGATTTTTGTCCATCAACAGTAGATTGAACCATGCAGGCTGCCGCAAGAAAAACTAGCGTACCCGAAACCAAAAAATCCCTAAATCCTAACGCCCTCAGCACAACACCCCTGTATGCACCGAAAGAACTTGAAACCTTATCCTAAACCCCTGGTCCCAATGCTTTACCCAATTTGTGCAACCTCGTCTTAACTAACTAACCCTAAAGCCGTGAACCCTAAACCTTAAGTCCTAAAACCCTGAACGCACATAAGCCTCGGCCCTAGACCCGCAACCCTAAGGCCCCAAACCCCAAAACCCCTCAACCTAATCCCCAAAACCCTAGAGCCCTAAGCCCCAAAACCCTAAAGCCCTAAACCCTAAAATCCAGAACCCTAAACCCCCTAAGCCTCGACCCTTAAACCCCTGCATCTTAAGGCCCAAAACCCCAAACCCTAAACCACTGACCCCCGAAAACCCTAAAACCCTTTATTCGTTTCTGAGCCTGAATATCTCTTTCTGGTGTTAGAAAACCTACTGCAGAAGCCTCAGTCTAAACTTGACTTTTTTCCTACAAGAGCTTGCTGCAGATAGTAGCCACTCGCCGCATGCGCGTACGGCCGCGCCGAGGCGGACGACGCGCAGCGTTTCAAATTAATTACTTATATCACCAATTCAGGAACTTATAACCATGCTTACTAAGTCCCATGATCCTCCAAGTTGTAACTATGGTTATATGTCTAGGGTAGCTGTACTCATATTACTTATATCCCCAATGAAGGTACGTACAACCATACTTACTACGTCCCATGATCCTCCGAGAATGCAAGAAGGGATGCAGGAGCACGACCTCCGAGGAGATTGAAATGCGTCCTGCTGGTTTAGGGTTTACGGTTTAGGGCGCCCTGCGTGGCCACGACCGCTCCTGCCGAGAAATGTCCCCATCCTCCATGATGGGAAGCGTTGAAACAATGCAATTGATTCCCTTGATGTCCTTAGCTACTTAAAGCATCATGGGACTTACTAATCACGGATATAAGTACCTTAATTGGGGTTATAGGTAACTATAAGTAGAGTTGCCTTAAGAATAACCCTAGTTACTAAGTCCCATGAACCTTTAAGTAGACCTTAACACCCCTTATAGAACCTTTAAAGATCCCTTTAAAGGAGCCCTTTAAGGAGCCCTTTAAGGAACCCGAAGAGTTTACTAAGTCCCATGATCCTCCAAGTAGGGCCTGGGATCTCAACTCTCGCTCTGTTTGTGTGCCACAAGACTCGCTGATAGTGCTCGTCGCTGTCACCGTAGGGTTTAGGGTTTAGGGGTTTAAGGTTTAGAGTTCCCACTCGCAAAGTTTAGGGTTTAGGGTTTGGGGTCCCCTCGCCCCCCATCAGCAACAACGATGTCCATCAGCTCTAAACCCCTGAACCCCTCAACCCTAAACCCCAACAGCGACGTGGACAGTCTTGTCACTCAGTCTTGTCCTTCGGAAATTTTCTTACCCTAGAGCCTTATCTGCTCTGATACCTCAAACAAACGCAATCCTAAACCCTGCACCCTAATCACTAAACTCCTGCTCACCCTACAACCCCAGAGTCCCCAACTGTAAGAGTGTCTAGGGTTTCGGGTTCAGGGGTTTAGGGTTTATAGAGGTTTAGGGCTTATAGGGGTCTCGGGGCTTAGGGTTATGGGGCCCATGGGGATTTGGGGGTAGGGTTTAGGTGAGCCAGTGGTTTTGGGGTTCCCTTGGCTCTTTAGCTCCTTATTTAATAGGGATTATCATCATCCCTGGCTCCTTAGCTCCTCCAATATCAACGGTTAGGTGTTACAAAGCACAAAACCTTTCAACCACCTAAGAATCGCAAACCCTCAATTCCTGAACACCTGCAGAACCCCGTTTCGCCGGTAAGACAATACGATGCACCAGAGGACCCTAAACCCTGGACCCTAGTCCCCAAGCCCTAAACCCTAAACCTCCCCCCGTTTGGTCGGAACCTTTTTTGACTCCAAGATTTCGTGCCCTGCCTTCGATGAACTCTTGTAAGGTGATCTGGCCATCTCCATTATCCTTCGTTTTAGCGTTTAGTTTAGGGTTTTAGAGCGTTAAGGTTTTACATGGGGTTTAGGGTCATCTCATCTCCATTATCCTGGGCTTTCCTTGGCGGCCTTGAGAAAGAAAGATCTGTCGCTCTTTCTTTAACAGACTATACTAAAACGTCAAGTGTACCCCTCTTCTGCGTAGTACCAGGACCCTCCTTATAACCTCAAATAGGGGTAGTTGGTACCACATAATGGGCTTTTGTAGGACACAAAGAGGGTAGATGGAAGGGCCATTCATACTACACAAATACGTACCGAAGAACTCCCTTCTAGAACTCATGAACCCTAACCCTAAAGAGCCCTTATGCACCCTGTAGAAACCTAAACCCTGCACCCCAAGCCCGTAAACCCGAAACCTGTCAATCGAAGGAACATTCTCCGCAGGAAAAACCTTCAACCTGTAAGAAACCTTAAGAAAAAACTTGTCGAAAAAGGCCCAGCAGCAAGGAACTCGAAGAGACTCAGCAGATCATGGTACTCCAGCCTCTGCTGTAGTGCGTACAGAACACATCTAAATCTACATCTACATCTACATATACATATACATATGCATATACATATACATACACATATACATATACATACACATATATATATATATATATATACATATACAAACACATGTACACATATACACATATACATATATATATATATGTATAAACATACACACACATACATATATACATATACATATGCATATACTACTTGAGTATATACTTACAGAAGGTTCTCTTAGCTTAGGGGTTCGGGATTTAGGGCTTAGGGATGTTTCGGGCTACCTAAGCCTTGGGACAGCTTCTAAAGGTGTCTTCGGGAGTGAGCTCCTTCAAGAGATCGTTTGCTTGTACGAGGTTTTTAGGTTGTAAAGCCCTTTCCATCAAGGGTTCTATAAAGGTAGTTTTTACACAGGTCAAGGGCTTCGGGTTAAAGGCTTATTGTAAAGGGATCTTCGGATCGGGCTCAGGTTTTGGGCTTTTGACAGTCAGCGGAGTTGCTAGGGCTTTGGAGGTTTGCTGGGGGTCTGCATTAATGCCCTGTGTTGAGTGTTTGCAGTGGTTTGCAAGGCTTTAAGCTAATGTAGATCTCTGATTGATGACACCTGTGTCTTTGGGGTCCTTTGCAATGGGATCCGCAGCTTCTTACCTTCCTTTCAGCTTAGTTTCGGGGTTTTATCTTGATCCTAGAACACTAAACCATAATGAGCGCGGGAAGAACGCGTTTCTGAAGCTCAAGGGCATCGTGTGGCCGCTATGGGTTTGCAACTGCTGGGCAAGATCGGAAAGAATCATGGCAACATGGGGCTTAAAGTGAACGCCCTAAACTCTAAACCATATGCCATAAACCGATAAACCCACACCCGGAACCACGAAACCCCCAATGCTAAATCCTAAAGCCACCAACCCCGAACCCGCTGCCCAAACCACCAATCAACCCCAAATTGCTCGAAACGCTCAAATCCCTGGTTCCCCCAAACCCCCAACCCTACAAACCCGGACTCTTAGAGACCCCATGCAAATCTACCCTAAACACAGCAACACCCAGGCGATCTTTCCTAAGCTTGAATTACAACTTGAATTCTTCATGGAACCCAGAAGAAGACACCGTAAAAATGCCCGATGAAATTCTGGAAGGCCTTTACATAAAAAAAGCAGCAAGGCCCTACACTGCATACCCTAGACCCCAACACCCCAAACGCTCATACTAAGATCCTAGATTCTAAACCCCAATTTCCTAAAACACTAAACCTGAACTCTAACTCACTAAAGCTCCAAAACAATAAACTCTAAACACCCTAAAACCCTAAATTCTAAGCTCTGTAAGCCCTAAAACCAAAACCCCTCAAACCTTAAATTCTACATTCGATGACCCTACCAGGACCCCCCAGTGGCCCTTTAATGGAGCCCTTATGGTCCTGAATTGTCCTTAATTGTGGGTATTAAGGGTACATTATAGGGTAATTGGGGGCTCTAGGTAAAACCTTAAACTCAACATGGCTTAGCAACTCCAGCTGGCTCATCCAGAACTTGAGCTTCGGAGAGGTGACGAGCTTGGAGAACTCCTCTTCAAGAGATCTAGGGATTAGGGTTTAGGGTTTAGGGTTTAGGGTTTAGGGGTTTAGGGGTTTAGGGTTTAGGGATTAGGGTTTAAGGTTTATGGGTTTAGAGTTTAGGGGTCAGTTAGGGGTTCGGGGTTGGGGGTGTAGGGTTTAGGGCTGTAGGGTTTAGGGTCACCATAAGGGGTGAAAGTAGCATCCTGGTAGAACTGCATTAAGAACCCTGAATAAGAACCCCTAGTGTATGAGCTTGAGAACTCGTCTCGGGGTGTGCAGACTTAGCTTTGTCGGTGCAGCGCTGAGGTGTGATTAGGGTTTGGGCTCAGTTTAGGGTGCCACATGCAGGGTTTAGGGTTTAAGGTATAAGGTCATGAAGCTGGGTTTTGGAACCTGATAACTTATCGGAGGCGTGACATGAAGGGCTTAGGCTTAGAGGGGACTTGCAGATAGTCCTCAAATTTCGGGCCCGCGAAAAGTAGGGCTCCCGTATGAAAAGGAGCCTAGCCGGGACCCTACTTTCGGGAACTAACCGTAGAAGGAAATCATAATGAGGAGCCTGTCCAGGCAGGGTATGCAGGTATCAGTGGAAGCTAATATGGTAACCTGATTAAGAAACCTTGGCCCTAATCTTGGGGTTCGGCATATGAACTCTACTCTTTTGGGATTATAGGGCCAGGGATTCTTAATCAGGTTCCTACATTAGGTTTGGGGGCGTCGTGTAGGCAAGGAGTTTCGAATTTAGGGTAAGCAAAAGGTAGTTAAGGCCTGCTCCATTAGACTAGGATGCCCAGTAACCTAGGAATAAAAGGGCTCCCTTTTCGGTAATTATTGGGTACCTTTATAAGGAACCTAGGACTACAAAAAGGGAATAAGGGTACTACTGGGCATCCTAGCCCCTAATTTTCGGAAACCCTAAACCCTTTATAGAACCCTTATAGATCCCTTTAAGGAACCCTTATAGATCCCGTTAAGGAACCCTTATAGATCCCTTCAAGGAACCCTTATAGATCCCTAAGGGTACTTCTGGGCATCGTAGCACGCCCGAGAAGCGGAGGATCTTCAGGTCAACGCAGGCCTAAGGCCTAAACCCCAGTCTATACTGAACTACGGTTTAAGGTTTAGGGTTTAGGGTTTAGGGTTTACGATTAGCTGGGCTAAGAAATCACTAGGCCAGCAGTGTAGTAGTAAAAAACCCACCCGCCCAAAGAATCCCAAAATATTAGGAAAATATACACTTTCTTCCTAAACCCTAAAGGCCAACCAAACATGCCCTAAACACTAGAAGCCACTACTATACTCCAAAACTCGTTGCGCAAGCCACATCCCAACAAGAATCGTTAATTTTGCAAACCTCACGTCGGAAAGGACTGCAGAATTAGCGATTTGTGTTGCGCATGGCGGTCGCGCAAGCCCCTCACAACAAAAATCAGGCCGGAAAGGAATACAAAATTAGCGATTTTTGTTGCACAGAGCGGTCCTCGCAACAAAAATCGTTAATTTTGCAGACCTCAGGCCGGAAAGGTCTGCAAAATTAGCGATTTTTGTTGTGCAGGGCGGTCCTCGCAACAAAAATCGTTAATTTTGCAGACCTCAGGCCGGAAAGGTCTGCAAAATTAGCGAGTTTTGTTGTGCAGGGCGGTCCTCACAACAAAAATCGTTAATTTTGTAGACCTTAGGCCGGAAAGGTCTGCAAAATTAGCGATTTTGTTGTGCAGGACGGTCCTCGCAACAAAAATCGCTAATTTTGCAGACCTCAGGCCGGAAAGGTCTGCAAAATTAGCGATTTTTGTTGTGCAGGCGGTCCTCGCAACAAAAATCGCTAATTTTGCAGGCCTCAGGCCGGAAAGGTCTGCAAAATTAGTGATTTTTGTTGCGCAGGACGGTCCTCGCAACAAAAATCGTTAATTTTGCAGACCTCAGGCCGGAAAGGTCTGCAAAATTAGCGATTTGTGTTGCCCACGGCGGTCCTCGCAACAAAAATCGTTAATTTTGCAGACCTCAGGCCGGAAAGGTCTGCAAAATTAGCGATTTTTGTTGCGAAATTGGTTGCCCAGGGCCCTTCTCGCAACAAAAATCGCTAAGGCCATTAACATTTAAATATACATTTGAAAGAGAGGTTTAGGGTTTAGGATTTAGGGTTTAGGGTTTAGGGTTTAGGGTTCGCCAGCGCAGCGTGGCGCCCAAGACAACTCCCTCTATAAGGGGGCTGCCCTGGTCCCTAGTTTTGAAACTTTTCGTCTAAGGCGGAATCGCAAAGGTTGCTAATGCTCCTGCTTGCAATAAACTAGCCCACAGCAGTGCCCTCCAATCTCTTCAAATCGCAAAATCGGTTCGCAGATGGGATTGGTCGAATCGGATGTTTTCAAATCTTCGCTTCGAGCGAGCCTCTCCTCGCAATGTGTTTGGTTAAATTTGCAGCTCCCAGCCCCAGCGCCCGCGCTTGCCCCAGCCCCGCGCCAGCGCCCGCCCCATCCCCAGCCCCAGCCAGCCCCGCAGCCCCAGCCCCAGCCCCAGCAGCCCCAGCCACTCCCCACCCCCACCCCAGCCCCAGCGCCCGCGCTTGCCCTAGCCCCAGCCCCAGCACCAGCGCCAGCACCAGCACCCCCCAGTTCCTCACAAAAGCTTCATCCACAAAAGGCCCAAGTCTTCCAAAGGTTTAAGTAAATGGGCTTGAATTTTTGTTGACGTTGCTTCCTACAATGAAAATCATAAAATGCTGCGCTGGCGCACAAGGGCGCAGCCCCTAAAAGTTTAGGGATTAGGGTTTAGGGTTTAAGGTTTAGAGTTTCGAGTTTAGGTTTTAAGGGTTTAAGGGTCTAGAGTTTAGGGTGTCAAGGTTTTAGGGGTTTAGGGGTTCTGAATAACACCCTAATGCTCCTGGACCCTCGTAGTGAGATCCTATACCTTGGCCCCCAAAGCCCAAACCCTCGCGCATCAAGCCACTAAGCCTACCTATACTGAACTTAGAACCCTAGCAAAAATTATAATTTTAGCTGTTTCTTAGGGATTATAATAACCAAAAATTAAAAAATATTTCTAAGTACCCCTAAACAGTCAGAACGATGTTTAGCCCGCGCTGTGACTGAAAGTGAAAGCGAGGCTATAAGGAGCCTTGATCATTACAAAGGGTTTCTGGGATATTCTAGTATACATTAGTATACTAGATACTTTAGGGAACAGCAACAAAAACTCAGAGATCCTTGATGCATGGACCCGGCACCCCGAAGTTTAGGGTTAAAAGTTTAGAGTTAAGGGTTTAGAGTTTCGAGTGTAGGGTTTAGGGTTTAGAGTCCAGGGGTTTAGGGTTTAGAGTTTCGAGTTTAGGTTTTAAGGGTTTCAGGGTCTCAAGTTTAGGGTGTCAAGGTTTTAGGGGTTTAGGGGTTCTGAATAACACCCTAATGCTCCTGGACCCTCGTAGTGAGATCCTATACCTGAGCCCCCAAAGCCCAACCCTCGCGCATCAAGCCACTAAGCCTGCCTATACTGAACTTAGAACCCTAGCGAAAATGGTAATTATAGCTGTTTCTTAAGGATTATATTAACCCAAAATTGAAAACTATTTCTAGGTACCCCTAAGCTACTATTAGGAGCCTTAGAGCAACCAAAGGTCCTCGAAGTTGATCGAGCCGTCACCGGAATCGTCCATCTGTTCAAAGAGCTTGGCGACTTTGCGGGCGTACCTGGGCTTCCGAGCAGAAGGCTGTGGTTTGCAGCCCACAGGGCTCTTGTATTTATATATGCATATATATATATATATATACATACATATATAAGTATATACACAGACTCCCAATATGGAATCAGGTCCCAAACGACCCTCCTTATTATGGCGTTGAGGACCTGATTCCATAATAGTAGTCTATATCGACCCTCTAAGTAACTTTCTTCCCAAGCCGTGCACCCTAAAACCTACAGTAAGTTCTATCGTAGGGTACTTTAAGGCTCCTGGACCCTCGGAGTGAGATCCCAAACCTTAGCCCCCAAAGCCCAAAGCCTCCCCCAGAAAGCCAGGACCCTCTTAGGAGCCTTAGGGTAAGGGTCCCTTTTTTGCTGAATGCCTCTGTTTCATCCTGTGAAGGGTCGAAGTCGACCTTTGGGCCTAGGGTTGGAGGGCGACCTCTCTCCCTCAAAGGTTTTGTGTTTGGGGTCTCCTGGGGGTTAAGAACTCTTTTTGTTTATAGGGTTTAGGGTTTAGGGTTCAAAGGTTTTGTGTTTGCGGTCTCCTGGGGGTTCAGAACTTTAAGGGTTTAGGGTTCGGGCCGCTGAGGATCCCACAAATACCTTGGGCTTGGGGTTTAAAAGGGCTTGCAAAGGTCTTGGGGTGTTTACAAGGCTTGAACTACAGGGCTTATTTTCATAGGCTTTCTCCAGCCTTTACATAGAACTTGAACAGGGTTTTGTTTGAATCGTTAGCGCTACTTAGGGTTTTACAGTAGGGTTTAGGACTCATATCAGTCATGCTGAATACCGGGAGATGATACCCAGACGCCCAGGAGGTCTCAGACCCCCAAAACTGCGGTTCATTTGGAGGGTCTTGACAGAAGGGTGCGTCTTGAATTATGTTTCTGTTCCGGGGGGAATAATCGCTCGAGTTGTTGGTTCCGGCCCAGTTGTGTATGGACCGGACCGGCCCCAAAGTGGTCTGGCAAGCGTTGTTCGCCGGTTTCGGGGTTATAGGGTTTAGGACATCCTTTGAATAATGGCCGCAGTGATAGAAGAGGCATGGCAGAAATCAGCAGTGGCTCAGAGCAGTCGCAGTGAGAATCCTGCAAATAGTAGTGGAGTCTTCATGTTTCGAGGCCCCTAAACCCTAAACCCTAGTACCCTAAAACCCTAAACCTTAATACCCTAAAACCCTAAACCTTAAAGCTGAATATCCTAAAACCCTAAACCCCAAACCCTAATACTCCAAACCCCTAAGCCCTAAACAGGAGACGGAAGCTTCTCAGCAGGCAGGCGTGGAAAGAGTCATCTTGCAAAACCAAGCTTAGTGCGCAGGTACGTAGGCTAAGGATACAAAGCTTGGAGGGTCGGGACGGATCGTTATAAAGAAAGCCTCTCCGCAACACCGTGGAGAGCCTGCCGTGGTCCGAACAGTTAGAGAAAAATCAGCCTGATTACACCTGAGGCCTAAACCCTGAACCCGAAACCGTACTGACACGTCCTGAACCTGAGGAACCGGCTGAGCGATGTCCTTTTCCTTCTGCTTGAATGCAAGCTCCTCGTCGGAGCCTCGGATCAGCTTTGCTTTGTCTTAGAACAACCGCCAAAAAAAGAGAATCAATCTTCGGGGCTTATGCGTTTTAAGTTGTAGGGTTAGGGCTTTAGGCGTAGGGGGCTTGGGTATAGGGTACAGTAACATGATGACTATGGAAATTAAAGGAGTGACATGCTCATGATGATGATGATGATGCTGATGATGATTATGATGCTGCCATTGTAGCTGGTGATGATGATGATGGATGAGTTTGATGACGATGAGGATGATGATGGTGATGCTGATGCTGATGGGCATGCTGCTGGCGAAAGTGAAGGTGAAGGCGAAGATGTAGAAGAATAACCTGCTGGTGCTGTTGTTGATGGTGATGATTATGCAGAAGAAAACAAGGACGGACATGAAGACGAACATGACGATGAATATGGCTGATTAAGAAGATGGCTGCGGTTCTGGCGATGCTGATGCTGATGTTGATGGTCATGGTGATGGCGGTGGTGAATGATGATGAGGATGAGGATGATGATGACGGTGAAGAACATGATAATGATGATGTCGATGATGATGATGATGGACGGCGGCTGAACTTCTCGTGGTCATCATGTTCGCCACTGTTGTGACCAGCATCAACAGTGTTTTCACGGCAATGCACTCACTGCCGTGGCCTTCGTCGGCATGAGTTGTCAATCTTGTCAGGTCAACGGTTGAAACCCTGGGCCCGCAGTATGGGCCCTTACCCCTGGGATCCTTATATACCTACGACAAAGATATTAAGACTCTCAAGGGTCCCTAGAACTCCCTCAAACAGGTCTAAGGTCCATATTAGGGCCCATACTTCTAAGCTTAGATCTGGGGTATCAACATCGCCTTATGGTCGCTAGAGTATCACTGTTCTAGGTCGATTGACAACTTGCAGGGGCAGGGGACTTAGTAAGTAGGGTTATAAGTAGGGTTATAATTGGGGTAACTCCATTTAGGGCACTTTTAACTCTACTCATAACCATACTTGCTAAGTCCCCTGGCCCTCCAAGAAAGGCATCCATGCCTACAGGCAGAGCGGAGAAATGACTAGTAACCACAGCATATCACAGCGTGATAGAGGACAAAGTAGTTCCAGAGAGTAGGTTCGAATGGCATATGGCCGCACTGTTGGCTGTACTGCGACATACTGAATGGGTGGCAAATGGGCAGCTGTTAATCCCAGCTGAATGTAATGTAGTCAACAAGTGGTTGCGGAAACCAGCAAGTTCTATTACATGTAAAGCTCTGTCTTCGGGGTACAATGTGCTACAACGCATGGATCAGGACAATGGCTTGCAATAGAGCCTATAAACTATCATGGAATCAGAAAACACTTGCAGTACACGCTACAATACAGACATGAAAGAACAGGCTTCGAGTTTGACACAAACAAGAGATCATGACCTTAAGTTTACATAAAGTTAGCCGCAGATGCGACACAATGCAAGCAGTTAGCTGGTCTACTGTGCAGCATTGGAATCAGCTTGTGATGCGTGGGTGCGGTGCATAACAGCAACAAAGTGAGATGTATCGCGGGCCGTGAAACAAGGTATGCGGTACGGTATGAAGCATGCTGCCGAATAGCACCACATGGCAACAGAACCGAGACATGATGGGGTTCAAAGGAGCCCATTGCAACATAACGGAGTAGTAGGATGTGCCGTCAGAGCGCTATGGATTGCCACACAACAGCGAACAGAATCGAAAGTCAAACAACACACAAGGAATGAATCTCAGCGTAGATAAGAGACGCTTAGAGTCTATAGAAAGAACATACCAACAACACGCACACGCACAAATGGCACAATCCACCGGTAAGACCTCGGAGCATGTGCACCAAACATTTACTTTAAGTCTTTAAGGAACCGACTGTTTGCATCACGAAACCTTTATCATGATTGTCGCAGCGAATAGAGGCAACGACATGGACTGCAGGCCACAATCATGTATGCTGCATTTTGCTATGTCCTGATCTCCAGTCCAAGACTTGAATATCTAACTGTCACTGTTTGCTCTTACTGTAAACACTTAAACCATATGTTCACATGTCCGTCTTCAAGCTAAAATCTCTAAGCATAGGTCTGTACAGTCGCCCGTCATGTCTTTAATCGTTTCTGCTTCTGGATTTACGGCATACAAAAATGTATGTGAATATGTCCCGACCTCTTGCATATCATCACTACAGAACACCCTTCCTTTCTCCTCCAGGAAGCTTGCCGTCCGCATAGTTTGCTGAACAAAGACGGAATTGACCACCTGAGAAGGACGAAAGGGTCAGAAAGCCCGTTCTCTTGTCGGTTTAGAGCTTGGAGTTTTACGGTTTCGGGCTTTAGGGTTTAGGCGGTTAGGGGTTCAGGGTTTTAGAGCTTACGGTGCAGGCCCTGGTGGGCTTTGGTGCAGGGCTGATCCTTGTGGCAAGGGTCCCTCCTCACCCCGACCTTCCAAAATAGTCGAATTACGGACTGTACCTTAAAATCACAATGACGTCCTGCTATAAGTCCGGGTATATTCCTGAATTAAGGGATTTTGGAATGTCTCGGCAGTTCGATCGATCCTCGCCGGTATACCTTGCTCGTAGCCTTAAGAAAGCTCCGACCAAATGCTAGAATCCTGGAGCCCGGTATGGCTGAACAAAGTACAACGCCCAACAACCAAAAACCCTTGAAGAACCTGAGCCCTTGAAACCTTCTGCCCTAGACTTTATACCCTAAACCCTAAAGCCCTAAACCCTAAACCCAAAGCCCTAAAGCCCTAAACCCTAAAGCCCTAAACCCAAAGCCCTAAAGCCCTAAACCCTAAAGCCCTAAACCCTAAACCCAAAGCCCTAAACCCTAAACCCATAGCCCTAAAGCCCTAAACCCTAAACCCTAAACCCTAAAGACCTAAACCCTAAACCCAAATCCCTAAAGGTCTAGAGCCCTACACCGTAAAGCCCTAAAGCCCTAAGCACTAAAGCCCTAAACCCAAAGCCCTAAACCCTAAACCCAAAGCCCTAAACCCTAAAGCCCTAAACCCTAAAGCCCTAAACCCTAAGCCCTAAACCCTAAAGCCCTAAAGCCCTAAGCACTAAAGCCCTAAACCCAAAGCCCTAAACCCTAAACCCAAAGCCCTAAAGCCCTAAACCCTAAAGCCCTAAACCCTAAAGCCCTAAACCCTAAACCCAAAGCCGTAAACCCAAAGCCCTAAAGCCCTAAACCCGAAGCCCCAAACCCAAAGCCCTAAAGCCCGAGACCATGAACCCTAAAGCCCGAGACCATGAACCCTAACCAACGACGACCTTTTAGAACACCTGAAAGCTCCTTCAAGGTTAACCTTTTTGATTATTTGGGAGTTTCCGAAAATGAAGGGTGCCTTATTTGGGGGTTCTTATAATGAGGATCCTACTGTTTAGGGTCCTATATTAGGGTCCCCTATTTTCGGAAACCCCCATATAGGGACTATATAGGGACTTTACTACCCAAAAAAAGTTAAACGTTACCTACTCTACTACTAGGAAGTCCTTAAAAGGGGCAGGTTCTTCAGGGCTCAGGTAACCGAGGGTCCAGGAGCATTAGGGTAGAGCACCTGAAACCTCCTGAATCAAAGCTGCATACGTGGAGACCCTAAACCCTAAACCCTAAACCCCTAAACCCCTAAATCCTAAACCCTAAACCCTAAACCCTAAACCCCTAAACCCTAAACCCTAAACCCTAAACCCCTAAACCCTAAACCCCTAACCTACGTGGGTGGGCGGCGCTTAAGCCCCTCGACATCGATGGCGCAGAACGTCCCAAGACGCTTGCCCGCCTCCCCACAGCCATGGGGACCGTAGCACCCACGTCGGACCCGGTACCGGAACACGTTCTCCTCAAAACCAGTACTGGTCCCGAAATAAAGTCATTACCCTAAACCCCAAGCTCCTGGCCCCCAGCCCAGCGCCCTCCAGGAACCCCTTCTTGGGGGGCAGCGAGCAGGTTCCAAGGACCAGTCCTACCCCTGGGCCTCCCTCAGCCCCCCTGGGCCCCCTGGGCCCTGGGCCCCCTTGAGCCCCTCGGCCCTGCCTGGACCTCTGCCCCTGCCCTGCCCTGCTCCTGCCTGCCCTGCCTGCCTTGCCCTGCGGTTTGCGGTTTGAAGAGAGAGAAACCTTGGAATGAGTTTAGGTGCTAAACCCTAAAAGGAATAGGTTTGGGTGGTTTGGCCGCCTTAGACGGCGTGGGGTGGGAGAATTAAAAGAGAGAGCCATCCACAATCAGGCTTTAACGGCCAGTCGTCACATGACGACGCACTCGAAAAGACACTGATCCAAGATCATTCCGCTTCTGCGCCACTCTACGGCAAACCCTAAACCCTAAACCCCTAAACCTAGGGTTTGGGATCGAATCTTCAGGACCCAGAGAGCCCAATACCCCTTAATTAAGGAATACAGCTAGGGTTCCTTTAAGGGATCTACAGGGTTTATAGGGTTTAGGGGATTCTAATACCCCTTGATTAAGGAATATAGCTTAAATCATAATATGAAGCCCTAAATAATTTAAGACATATATTCCTTAAGACCCTTATAGAACCCCTTTATAGATCCCTCTAAGGAGCCCTTTAAAGGAACCCTAGGCATATTCCTTAATTAAGGGGTATTGGGCTCTCTGGGGATTTTTGGTCCAGGAAGTAGGGTTTAGGATTTAGGGAGTAGGACTTAGGGTTCAGGAATTAGGGTTTGGGGTTTAGGAGTTTAGGGTTTAGGGTTTGGGGCTGCCCCAAAACTGCAAGAAAAGGTCCGACATCTGCTGGCCGAGGAGCATTCAGGACAGCAAAACCTAGTGGTTTCGAGATTTTTTTGGTTTAGGGTTTAGGATTTAGGGTTTCAAGCTTAGGTTTAGGGTTCAGTGCTTGACTGGCTCTCGGTTTAGGCAGGTTTTGGGATTCAGGGCCTGGGGACTTTTTATACATAAGGGGTTCTTACATGCGGTTCTGTTGCAAGGGTTCCTCAGTCTCAGGGTCGTGGGGTTCAGAATTTCGGGGATCCAGGTTTACCGCAACCCCAACTAACCTACCATCCTGCGCCCCAGGTTGAATGTATTTTAAGTTCGTACTTGGAGGGGCAGGGCACTTAGTAAGTAGGTTATAAGTAGAGTTATAAGTACCCTAAACGCAGTTACCCCAGTTATGACCCTACTTATAACCTACTTACTAAGTCCCCTGCCCCTCCAAGTATGTATATTCTTTTCTACAGGTTCCATGGGCTCTCGAGAAAGGTAAAATGTACGATCTAGTTGAGGTGGGTTATTAGAAACCGAGGATTGCTACTCGACTGACGCCTAGTTGCTGAGTTCATAAGCCCCCAAAAGTGTACGCTTTCAGTTTTAGAGTGTGTAATATTATCCCCAAAAGTGTAAAGTGTATTCTCTCAGCCATTAAGGATAGTAAGCCCCGAAAATCTGACCCCCGCCCAGCCCAAAACCCAAGCCGCAACCGCCTGAACCCTCAAACCGCAAGCCTGCTAAGACAATGTAGCAGCCTTGGTAGGTTGGATACTGAACTTAGAACCCTAGCAAAAATTGTAATTTCAGCTGTTTCTTAGGGATTATAATAAAAACCAAAAAATGGTATTTCTAAGTACCCCTAAGGTTAGTATAGGGTTTTAGGGTTTAGGGTTTTAGGCTCTGGGGTTTAGGGTTTTAGGGTATGTTAGCAGAGTATCATCATGAGAGAGAAGCTTCAGGAGCAGCTCCATGCACCCATATAGCAGGTAAATAGGCCGTATAAAGTACGTACCCATACCCTAGGGATCAAAATTGCCCAAAAGCCTTGTATAGTATGGTCCTTGGGCCCAAAAGCGTTACAGTACAGTAATATATCTGTCCTTAAATCCCTAGGGATATAGGGACCCCTTTAAGGCCTAAGTACCTACCAAATGGGCACACGGAGTCTTAGACCAGTTATCCGACTGCCAAAAACGACCTTCCGCAGCAGGCTGAGGCGCCCAGGACGCACCGGTAGATCAGGAAAAAAATCGAAAGCCACTCGCTCACCTCAGTTTAGGGCTCAGGGTGTAGGGTTTACCCTTAACCCAACCTTGGATAACCTACCCTTTTTAAGACTCCTTACTATGATTTCCTGATAATAGTCCTTAAAAGGTAGGTTATTCAGGGTTTAGGGTTTAGGGATTACTGTAGGGTTTAGGGGTCTTATAGAGTTGGTGGCTTCAGGGTTGAATGCTTTGGAGTTCTGGCTAGCCTTAGCAGGTGAGTCCTTAGATCCCCAGGGAGTTTAGCGGAAACAGAAGACTGCCGCCGAATCGCATTCTCGACGAGCACGCGACAAGGCGGACTCCAGTTGGCAAATAAAATCTCCTCAGGGCGGTGGGGTTCGTTTCAGGGTTCCTTTCCAAGAGAGGTCTATCAGGTCTGCTGTTTATAAACGCCTCTCCTTTCTTTAGATTATTTTTGTGGTCCTAGTATATAGAGGGGGCCTTTAAGGAGAGGTGTTCATTTGTCTGCATTACTCGTTAAGATGAGGTTTGAATCTCCGCACCTCCCACTCTGGGCCGAAGACTCAACTTAGGGTTCAGGGTTTCGGGTCAGAGCACCATCACAAGCAACATCAACAGAATGAAATTCTCTGCATCATGAGAATCAACATGATGATGATGATCATCGTTGTCACCCTTCTGACTGCCATCAACATTTTATCATCCTCATTTTCATCCTCATTTTCTTCATCCTCCTGCCCATCATACTAATCATCCTCCTCATCAGTGTCATCATCACAGTCCCAGGAAGACGTGATTCGGCTTTTCGGCTCCTGTCCGAACACGCTAGAATGGGTAGTTATGGTCCCTTTTGGGGTCCTTTAGGGGTTCATGGTGTCGGGTCCTTAAAGGGTGCGATACTATGAAAAAGGCATCCTAATTTAGAGAACTACCCGAATCTGCAGTTCTACAGTACTACGGGCGGAAAAGGGTGTTTAGAAGGGATCCTACAGAGGGCCTTCTTCAAGGGCTTTGTCGGGGTCTGTCTTACGAGGGCGAGGGTTCTGCGGGGCATATGAAAAGGAGTCACGTATGGGCTCAAGGCATTCGGGTTCCAGGGCGAGCTATTTTCTAGGGCTCGCTTTAGGTTTAGCCTCACCCTGAACCCTGCACCCTTGCTGAAGGGTGAGGTTGAGGGTTCAGTGCACATCCGAGGGAAATGGTCAGTACGGTGTTTGACTTTGGTCTAGAGAGAGCTTTCAGCACCCTACATTTCGAGCGTGCCACATGTGGTTGAAGATAGACGCAATGTGCGTTTGAGAGACATTGAGCAGATTCTGCCTGAAGCCTAAAACCGTAAAACCCGAATGAACCTCTTATACTGCCCCATAGAACCCTGTTAGATCCCCTCTGGAAACGTCCCCAGAGCCAAAGCCGGGACTTAAATCTCAAAGGCCGAGGAGCAAACATCGTGAGGAAACATCGTGTGAAGGTGCCATAATACTGGAAAACCTCCTCAACAGCAGTTCAAGGCTTCCTTTTTAGGGCTTGGCTTAAAGGTTGATTTCAAGCTGCTTCTTTAAAGTCCTATATAAACATCCCATGAACATCTCTAAGCCCTCAAGCCTCATCTTAGGCGCGAGTACCAGAGTAAGTAACCTTTATTTAACCTTGCCGGGGCACGAAGATCCTTGTATCACACCTATGAATTCTCAAAGGTGAGCCTTTAGTTTTTTCATGATATTGGACTAGTAAAAACACTAGTAAAACCCTAAACCCCTAAACCTCAAGTCCTAAGCCCCAAACTCGAAAGTTCCTAAAGCCTCATCATACGCCTTCACTAGTCTCCCTGAAGGTTCCATGCTATGGAACCCCCTCAACCGAAACAGAACTATGAACATGGAGGGTTCTGAAAATGCTAGTTTAGGGGCCTTAGTATTTTCCATAGGGCTCCTTTAAAGGGAATCTATAAGGGTTACTAGAAGGGCTCCTGTAAGGGACTGGTGTAGGGGCCTTGATAACTGGAACGGGGTTTGTCGGGGTATCTTACTGCCTAAAATCCAAATCTTGAGGACACTTTAGAGGATTCAGGGTTCAGGGTTTAGGGGTCGGTGTGTTCCGAAGCATGTGCTGCAATTTCTGCACGTCACGTGACGGTTTGTGCAAGTCTATCTATTTCATAAGTTACAAGACACCTCACTCAAAACACTTGCAAAGCCACGAGCCGAAACACCCTGCAAGGATCACCAAACCTTCATTCACCGGCACAGAAAAACCCAGACCCGTACCGATCCGATTCGAGCCAGTTCCAAATCCTTGTCAGAAACCCTCCCTAACCTTAATCCCGGAAACGCGAAACCCTAAACCCCCGGTACCCTACCTTGTTAGACTTATGTAAGCAACTCATAGCAAAAAAACCCAAAAGGTAGGTTTCTTGTGTCCAGGTAAAACCCGAAAGAACAGGACCTGACGGACGGCCAAGTCGTTCGCGGGGTCGTTGAGGAACCTGGTTTCTCGCTAAAGAGTTGAGCTTAAGTTGACATAGTTTAGGGTTCCTTTGAAGGTTCTACAAGTATTCTCCACAAACTCTTGCTAGTATGTGTTCATAATACCGGCACCATACTATTTGTGATAGGATTTAAGCTACCATAGAAAGGAGGCCCTACTCCCTACGATAGATCTACGTTACCATAACAAGGAAGACCTCTGTTTGCTGTAGGTCTAACTTACCATAGTGAGGAAACCCCATTTACTATAGATCCCTCATTATGACGGTCACTTGAGCTTTCCTGAACAAGAACCCAGGAACTCACGGCAGAGGGTGCTGATGACCATTCCTGCCACGCACCTGGCATGGTTTCAGGTTTATGGGGTTAGGGGCGGCGTTTGACGTCCAGGCTTTGCGCAGACTAACCAAGGTACCTTTAACAAGGCGTCGGAACCTCTAACAATAGAAATATAGTTAACCAGTAATATGTGGGCCTTAATAACTAGAATAGGGTTTTGGGGCACATTAGACCATAAATATAAAAATCAACCCCCGAAACAGTATTTGTCGTTGTTTAGGCTTCTACAGTACTTGGAGGATCATGGGACTTAGCAACTATGTGGTTATAAGCCCCTTAATTGGGGTTAGAAGTACTTATCAGTATGGTTACCCCAATAATAACCCTATAGTTACTAAGTCCCATGATCCTTTAAGTACAGTATCCCGCTTTGAGGTCGAAGCTGCAGGGCCTCGGATGGCCTGAACCCAGGGCCCAAAAGGCCCAGAGCACTGCAACTTTGGGGTCACTTCAAGCCTAAAGGGATCTATAGGGTTCCTTAAAGGGATCTATGGGGGTTTAGGGTTTAGGGTCTACTTGGAGGGGCAGGGGACATAGGAAGGAGGGTTCTAATTAGGGTAACTGTACTTGTAATTCCTTATAACACCAAATAAGGTACTTCTAACCATACTTCGTAGGTGCTATGATCGTCCCATTATAGAACCCTTATAACAGAACCCTTATAACTCCTTTTACGGAACCCTCTAAGGAACCCTACTTACTAGGTCCCATGATCCTCCAAGTAGTCCCTAAACCGTCGCCCATAAACCCTAAACCCTAAAACCCTAAACCTATACCCCAATGTTGTCTTGGGTTTTATATGAACAAAGATTTAAGAATAGATCCTAAGGAAACTAGAAACCCTTACAGGGAACTCTAGAACCCCAAGTCGGGTTTCGGGCAATGCCCGGGGCACTGCAAGAACGTCAGCAAGCAAAAGGTCCAGAAAAGCATGTCGATGCTCGCCTCGGAACTGCGGCTTAGGGTTTCGGGCTTTAGGGATTCAGGCATAAGGGCCTTCGCATTGCTCGCATGCGCAATTTTGTGCTACGGCTGCTATGAGGGCTTGAGAAGGGCTCATAAGCTCAAATGTTCGATTGTCAACTCTGCAGCGAGTCATGTTCCTAATAGATCCTAATAGCACCCTATTCACCTGTCTATCTACTCATCTATCCGTCTACCTATCTATCTTTCTCTCTGCCTACGTATCCGTCTATCTATTTGTCGGTCTGTCTATCTATGCTATGATATTCTCTAGAAGGATGTCATCCCAGATTTTGCTGTATTTACTGCGGACCCCAATGTTATTCCACTACTGGACTACCTAAGTGTTGAAGCTATGTCCCTCAAGCCTGCAAATATTAGATTCGGTCGTGGGTTTGTTTAGCCTTTGTGGTCTTGGGTCGAGGGTCGAACGTATGCAAGTCCTGCGTTTCTACAGGTGTACGGTTGAAAGAGGCATTAGGCTTCGCGTTCGAGGGTGTTTAGGGTTCAAGGTTTGAGGGTCTAGTATTCAGGCTCAAGTCATAAGGTAGGGTTTAGGGTTTAGGGCTTAGGGTTTTTTGTGTTCAGGTCCAGGATTTAAGCTTTGAAGCCCTATAAACCCTAAAGCCTTAACGAATCAGCGGCTTTCAGTCTAGGATGTAGCGAGAACTTTAGTAAGCTTTAGGGGTTTAGGGTTTAGGGCTTCAGGGGTTTATAGTGTTTTAATGTTTAGGGTTTACCGACAGACTCAGCTGAGAGCTCGATCGGTGAGTTGGAGGAGCTGCGAGCTTCTTCGAGGGCTTCTAAGCCTGAATACGTAGTATCATTACGGTTTAGGGTTTAGGGTTTAGGGTTTGGGGTTTAGGGTTTGGGGTTTAGGGTTTAGGGTTTGGGGTTTAGGGTTTGGGGTTTAGGGTTTGGGGTTTAGGGTTTAGGGTTTGGGGTTTAGGGTTTGGGGCTAAGTGGCAGCTACTTAGTTGGCTGCCGGACGGCTCCGAAAAATAAAGGTGGGTTTGAGATGTACAAATTTGTGTGCAACATGCGAAGTGTGAAAGTAAAATTGTGCGCAACATCCACACGGATGTGCAAATGCCTGTGTGTACTACATACATATATTGTACATGCGTTTGTAGAATCATATGTGTTTGTTCGTTTTCACATCTAAGCAAAGGTATGTGTGTGTACATATATATATATATATATACACATACATATATATATATGTATATATATGTGCTTTTGTTCGAACCAAAACCAAATTTGTGTGTATATATATGTGTGTTTTAAATGTGCTTTTTCAACACATTTGATTTCACATGACAGCAACACGCAACCCAGCAGCCCATCAAGGCTAAGCACTAAGCACCGTGTCACTGCGCCCTAAACCCCAAACCTTAAACCTCTAACCGTTAACCCCTAAACCCTAAACCTCTAAACATCAAACCCAAACTTTCTGCAGCCGAAGTAGCAGCTGCTAGGCACTTTGTAACCGTAACTCCCAAACCCTAAACCCCATATAATTGTCTGCAGCCGAAGTAGCAGCCAAGCACTTCGTTAGGAGCTGCAGGGACGAGAGGACCTGGGAAATCGTCACCATTCCTGGCAGGGCTGCTGGCACCCGTGTCCTTTTAGAAACAATAGACAGAGCCCTATACCTATATCCCTTCGTAGGAATTACTTAAGAAGGTCTACTAGCCGGTCTGTTTATTCTTTTGGGGAACCATTACATTAAAGTACCCTTATAGTAACCGTTATAGAGACCCCCTTAAAGGAGCCCTGTTTATTCTTGTTCGGGGAACCATGAAAAAGGACAAGGCTTGCTGCTGGGCTGCTCTTGGGGCTTTTGTCTGGCTTGGGGCCTAACACCCGGGGTTTAGGGTTTAGGGATCTATAGGGTTCCTTCAAGGGATCTATGGGGTTTAGGGTTTAGGGTCTACTTGGAGGGGCAGGGGACTTAGTTAGTATGGTTATATGCAGGGTTATAATTGGGTATCTCCATTTAGGGTACTTTTCACTCTACTTTTTTCCATACTTACTAAGTCCCCTGCCCTTCCAAGTAGGGTTTAGGGGCTAGGGGTTAGGCGTTTAGGTGTTTAGGGGTTAAGGAATTTCTAACTTAGGATTTGGGGCTTGAGGTTTAGGTTTTGGGTTTGAGGCTTCAAGAAGTGCGATGTAGGGTTCAGGGCATAAGGCTTGATCTGGAATGATGGCTCAGGGGCTTAAGCCTACTTGTCGGATACCATGGGGAACTAAAAGTTAACCTTTTTGGTTATATAGGGATTATATCGGGACTATACTACCCAAAAAAGTTAAAGTTTCTCTACTCTGCTACTAAGTACGGCTTCTAGCATTTATGGTTCAGGTCCGGGACTGGGTTCCTGAGTAGCCGCTTTATGCTACGGCTACCGTTTTTCCTAAGATTCAGTCTCCATACTTAAAGGATCATGGGACTTAGTAACTAGGGTTATGACTCAGGTAACTATACTTATAACTTATAACTACTTATCACCCCAATTGAAGTACTTAGAACCTTACTTACTAAGTCCCATGATCCTCCAAGTAAGGAGACCCCAATCTAAAAGGGGCAAGAGGGTGGAGCCTAGGGGAACTTCTAAACCCGTAAGCTACCTCAACCTTAAACATCCCTCCCCGACTAAAATCCTCTGCCTGCCCCCAAGCCAAAACCATCAACCCCTCGACCCTAATCCCTACATCAGAAACACTCAACCCTGGGTGATTCAGCTTACAGCCTCAATCCTAAGCCACAAACCCTAAACCCTAAATCCCTAAGCCCCAAAGCATCAACCAACCAGGTCAAGTCACGAAGCGCCCTTGCGAGCTTACCGAGGCGAATCAAGCGGAAGAGAAGTGGATTCACCGGAAGCCTTCTCTCCAAGGGTAAACGGAGGGACCCTTAGGCTCTTAGGGTTCCTTTGAAGGGATCAGTAAGGGTGCCTTTAAAGGGATCCATAGGGTTTAGGCTTTAGGGTTTAGTTTAATCAAAGGGGAGAAGGAGGGACCCTTAATAAGGACCCCTAGGTATATACCCTTCATATAGCTGTTATATACCCATTATATAGCCCATTATAAGGTAGGGGTGCCCATTAAGGGTCCCTCCTTGTCCCCTTTGAATTGACTATGTCGGCTCACCAGACTCCTCGAGGGCTCAGGCTTCAGGGTTTAGGGTTTACGGTCTAGTCTTTAGGCTTCAGGGCTCTGGGGTTTAAAGTGTTTAGAATCTATAGGGCTTAGGAAATCTGAATCCGATACACCCAAGAAAACCAAACGTAAGGTTAAGTGATTTGTGTGTTGTTCCTTTGAGGTGGTGCAGTGCAAGGGATCAGAGGAGGCCGTGACTCCTGTGAAGTCAGGGATTTAGGGTTCAAGGTTTAGGCGTTTCGGGTTTGGAGTCTGGAGAAATTCAAAAAGCGCGTGTAAACCCTGAACCCGTAAACCCAAACCCCCAAGCCCTTACGACCTTTCCAACAGCTTGGAGCACTTAAACCCGAAAAAAAAAACAAACCCTAAAATCAGCTGTTAGAAAGGCTTGGCAACCAAGTCCTTCCTTTGTAAACCCTGTAAACCCTATACCCCAAGACCCTATCAATCCTACACCCCAACGTAAGTCCTTCCTTCGTAAACTCTATGAATCCTAGACCCCAAAAAAGCCTAAACTTAGCCCTTCATCCTGGCAGCCCAAACCCTGACCCTGAAAACCCTAAACCCTAAACCCCAAACCCCAAACCCTAAACCCTAAACCCTAAACCCTAGACCCAGACCCGAATCCCTAAACCCAAACTCCTGAAGCCCCTAAACCCTAAACCCTAAAACCCCCTGAACCACCAAAACCCCCCCCAAAAAAAAACAAACCCCAAAAACCCTTAATCACGAAGCCCCTTAAACCCTAAACCCCTAACCCCTAAACCCGAAACCGCAAGGCTTCAAAGGCCCAGGAACACGAAGGCGATCGCGACCAACTCCGTTAGCGAGGCAAAGGACACCGCGGTATCCAAATAGTTCCTGTTGTCGGTTTAGGGGTTTGGGGTTCAGGGTTTTGGGGGGTCAGGGTTGCCAGGTTTGTGCTGCACCCTTGGGTTTACGGGCTGAAGGTTGAGCGCTGAGGGTTCTTGTTTCAGGGCTTGGTTAAGGGGCTTAGGGTTTAAAGTTTCCAGCATGTGGGCGTTATAATGCTACCCCGTATTATTTACAAAGTACTGGGGCCCTCAGTCCTGAACCTGAAAACCTCATGGTAGATTATGTCAGAGATGTGTCTGGAAGTGTGCAATCCCGATATAACACATATACAAATCAAAGTAGTAGCTCCACCATGCTCCACAACAATATCTATGTCCCGAAAGCATATTCTAGTTATTGAGGCGCGTGTACTTTGGCAGACAGACCACAAACCGCTGCTGTAACCTCTCTGAAACTTCGCAGCCGCACCCTGCAGGGCCCTTGCACTGTCGGCTCTTCCTCCCGTCTAAAGTAAAAGCCAGAAAGTTGGAATATGATTATCCTAAACCCTTAATGGTAAATTATAAGGTATCCTACCCTGAAACAATATTCCAACTTTCTGGAGTTCCCTTTAAGACTCTACATCCCCCCATCCTTGCCTCCAGATGGACACCCTAAACCCTAAACCCGCACCCTGACCGACAGGAGGCAGCACAAATTCCTGACTTATGATGCATCTTGCAGAATGTTCCACCATGCCAGCTAGACTACCCTAATGCTTAGTTCTATATATATATATATATATATATATACATGTTTCTGTCGGCGGCTTCGTTCGGTAGTTCGTGAACACTTTTTCGGCCCTTTAACCCTAAACCCTAAACCCCGTTACTAAGCCGTCTCCAGGCGGAGCCCATATCTGCATGCTCCAAATCTTTTTCAATGCAGCCCAATATGTACTGAAATCCTCCACCCTCTCCCCTAAGCAACCCCTACACCCTAGGTCCTAATCCTAAATCCCTAAACCCCCGAACGCTAAACCACCCTAAGCCCTCAGCCCCAAGTGACCCGGTAATACTGCTGATGGACAAAATCCTGCATTACCAATTATAAGGAACATAGCATAGTTCCCATAGTTTAGAGTCCTTAGGGTCATGCAGGAGTTTGTCCATCAACGGTACTGTGCGGACAAGAGCACATGCAGATCTTGAAGAACTTGGCCCTCATGATGCTCACGCGAACCACCACATCCAAGCAAAACAAGGATGTGAAGCAGACATCGCCGACGCGGAAGTAGATGGCACCTATGATAAAAGACGCATATATATATATATATATATACATGTGTATATTTATTTATATGTTGCAACGCAGTATAATATCACATGATGTAAAGACAGCGTCATGTAACAAGACCTCGGGTTCGAGTTCAGTTCGCACTTATGGGCCCTTCCTCTTTCGGAAAGTGTCGCTGAACTTCCGATTTCAGTGCTAAACATCGTATATACCTCCAAAGCCCCAGAACTAACGTTGACCATCCTAAACACCCTGAATCCTAAAACCCTAAACTCGTTATTTAACCCCAGAGACCCCCAAAAGCATCTGCAAGACTTCGGGTGGGCTTCTAGAGTTCGATGAGATTTGGGCTTCCGGGCTTCGCGCCTCGAAGCGACCCATGTTGGGACTTTTCGGTTTGGGGTTGGGGTGGAGGGTTTAGTTTGGGGTTGAAGGTTTAGGGTTTAGGGGTTGGGGCTTTTGGCTTGCATCACAAACACTATAACCGTCATTCCGACCCCTATATTCACGGACTGCAAAAGTCAGGCGAAACAAGTGAGAAAAGTCTGTATGACAACTCATAAGATGAACGAACCCAGGTGGGAACACTACGTCCGATAGAGGAGACCATATGTCAAGTGTTTGCTGAGGAATCTCCGCAGTAGCGGGGCATCTTGGACAGATTTGCTTAGGTACAGTAGTTTTAGGTACAGTAGTAGTAGTTGTAGTAGTAGTAGCAGCAGTAGTAGTAGTAGTAGCAGCAGCAGCAGTAGTAGTAGCAGTTGTCGTCGTCGTAGTAGGACTAGTAGTAGTGGTAGTAGAAATAATAGAACACTAAAGCCTAAACCCTAAACCGTTCAGTACAGGGTTGTACACTTTGGAGTGGAAGCGTGGAGGGTGGATCCCTGTCGGATAACCCTGCTTTGCCTGCACCAAGATCATTACAAGGAGGATCCTGATGCTAAGGGGTTTAGGGTTTAGGGTTTAGGGGTTTAGGGGTTTAGGGGTTTAGGGGTTTAGGGTTTAGGGGTTTAGGGTTTAGGTCCTTCAAGCCCGAACTATTCCCCTTCAACCCCCGACCCCGAAACCCCCAAAACCCCCAACCGTGATTCCTAAACAATGAGAATCCTCGAGCCGATGCCCCAAGGTTTATGGCTGCGCTCTGACGTTGAGGGTTTCGGGGTTTTGGGGCCCTAAACCCTAAACCCTACACCCTAAAACCCTTTCAGGTCTTGGGGTTTCGGGTTTTGGGTGTTGCTCTCAGACCAGGAGAGCTTGTAGCCAGCCCAGGCCGTGCTCCCAGCTTGCTATGTGGTGGACCGTACTTGACAAACAGCTGTTCGGGTTCGGGGTTGCGCGGACTTCTTAACCATAGGGATCTAAGGACTCGTGTATTTCGGGCTTTTGGGGCCGAAGACTATATTATGTAAGGCTTTTGGGCTATTTTGATGCCCAGGGTAAGGTGAGGAGCTCACAATACTCTCCAGAAATCTTCAAACCCCGAAGTATCCCTGCAAAGCCCCAAACCTCAAATACGAGGAGCGAGTCAAAGGCTAAATTTCAGATTACTACTAACAGGGCGGGTATTGGAGAACTAAGTTAAGGTTAGGAGCGAGTCGGAAACCATTCTTCATCTGCCGGGGGGTACAAGCCCAGCTCCGTGCCGACGATGGAACCCTGGATGCCGGAGAGTGTACGGCTGCAGGCTGGGTTTAGGGTTTAGGGGTTTACGGTTTACGTTGAAGGTTTCGGGTTCGAGGCTTTGCGGTTTTGGGGGATATGAAATTGGCGGATGAAGGCTTGGGATTCGAAATAGGGGCATTGTAATTACTGGAAGAAAGGCTTGGAGGCATTAAAGATTACTGTTTCGTCTACCTTGGCTAAAGTTTAGGGTTTACCTTCAGGATTCAAAGGAGCGGGAAGTCTACTTAAAGGATCATGGGACTTACTAACTAGGGTTAGTATTGGGGTAAATATGCTTATAATGACATAAAACCCGAATTAAGGGACTTCTAACCATAGTTGCTAAGTCCCATGATCCTCCAAGTAGGGTGCAGGCGTTGAGTTCAAGAACCCTAAACCCTAAACCCAAACCCTAAACCCTAAACTCTAAACTCTAAACCCTAAACTCTAAACTCTAAACCCCAAACCCTCAACCCTAAACCCTGAACCCTCAACCCTAAACCCTAAACCCTACCTCGGAGGAGCGCAGAAAACCTGAGTCCCCTATCGATGCTGGAAGGTGGGGGTTTCCGAAGATTGGGGGTAACAAGGATCCTGCTATCTGGGGTACTATATGAGGGTCCCCTATTTTCGGAAACTCCCATGTGTGGATGACTGTTCATTGCTACGGTTGCTGGAATTTCCTAATGGATGTGTAAGATTAAAGTTGGGGTTTGGGCTTTTTGGTTTGAGGCTGAAGGTTAGGCTTTGGAAATTTGCGGTTCGGGCGATATGGTTGGGAGGTCGGTAGTTGAGTTTAGAGCCAACCATAGCTGGTAAGGGTTTTAAGTTAAGGGAGGTTTAGGGTTTCGTGACAAGGATGCTTTGGGGAAGACCGCAGGTAGGCTCTTACGAGCCGTTCTAATTATTAAGGCCCCTATATTGCGATAGAACCTTATAGTGGCCCTTTTACAGGACCCGGAACCCTATTCTAACTAGCCGAGCTCGGGCAATCAGTGTGCAGGACAAGGTTTTCCTCTGGAAGATAACAGTGACAGAGTGCAACCCTCCACCCAAAACAACTGCACAAACCGCAAGCGCTGAACCCTAAGCCCTACTAGGAACTCAGCTTTAGGGCATAGGGTTTGAGACGTTACGACTCGGGCTAGGCTTAGAAGGGTAAGGGTTCAGGCTTCAGGGTACTACTTGAAGGATCATGGGACTCAATAACTAGGGATATTATATTATGGTAGCTATACTTATAATTACTTATAGCCCTAATTGAGGTACTTATAAATATACTTACTAACTCCAATGATCCTCCACTATAGGACCCTTATAGATCCCTTTAAGGAACCCTATATATAGAAGTCTAGAGTCTAGAGTACCCTTGAAAGGAACCGGTACTAAGGTTATAAGGTCGGCCTCCACCTGCAGCTCGAAGGCCATCCACAAGACGTTGAAGCAGAGGAGGCAAGTGATCAGCATCTCAAAACGTGGGGACTGCAAAAATGCCTCGGCGAGGGGTTCCAGGGTTCCGTGGGCCCTAAGCCATAAACCTCAAGGTTCAGGGTGCGGAGATTTGGTTTGTGTTTCGGCGATTCAAAGGAGCCAACTGCCTGTTCTCACGTTGGAATACGCGGTGTTGGGGTGGCTGGTTGATAGAGACGATATGAAGCCCTGAACGGTAATTAAACCCTAAACCCCTGAACCCTAAACCCTGAAGGGCCGTGCAAAGTCCAACAGCCTCGAATATGAACCGATGTCAGTTCGCGTTTAACGCCTAACCGTCCGAACTGTGAACTACCCTAAATTTATCCTAAACCGCAAATCGAACCGTTCGGACACGAACTGCCAATAAACCGAGTCTACGCTCCCTGTGTTTCTTAGAGTTGTGGGTGTTCGATGGATTGGGGGTTTAGGGGTGTGTTGGGTTTCGGGTTTGGGGATTTGGGGATAAGATGGGTTCAGGCTGGGGATTTGTTTGAATTTCGATGGGCCTCTGCTACCAGTAGCGTTCCAAAACTTTCGTCGAGATGTCACCACTTTAGTAGAACAAAACACGTGCAAGCAACTATTGACCCATTTATCCCGAAGCGCGAACCGCCGAATGACCGGACCCAGCATTCCACGTTGAATCCTTAAAATCTGAATGATAGGGAACGGGAACCGATGAAGTTAGAGCTTTCTGTGATAGAAGAACATTTAGTAGCATAGTATGCCAATTCCCGGCGTTGAACACCCCCAACATCCCAAAAGCCTTCAACCACATGCGTATTGTTTAAGCGGAAAACCAAGGCATAGGCTGTACAGCTGATGAGAAAATTCCTGCATGACCCATAATGAGGGATATACCATAATCCCCATAGTCTAAGGTCCTTAATGGTAATGCAGGATTTGTATCATCAACCGCATGTTTCGGGTTCCGGGATGTTGTCTTCAGGCTTCCAGGGTTGAAGGTGAGTTTTGCATGCAACACGAAGCTTTGTGGCTTGGAACCTTGGAGGTAGGGGTCTGATTCTGATCTATACGTGAATTAGATCCAATACTTGGAGGTTCATGGGTAGTTATAAGTAGGATAGCTGTAATTACAGCTCAAATTAGGGGCCTCATATACTATGGAACACCTACAAACCCCACCCATCAATGAACTTCCAAGTGAGGCAGCAGGCTTACGGGCTCATGATCGACATCGTCATTGCATCACATCTTTCCAGTCTTTGGCAAAAGATGCGTGGCAGTGGTTGATATCCCCAAAGGGTCCAAAGTACCTGTATAGTAAAATGTAAGGTTTCTATATTAGGAATTAATATTATGATTTGGGGAAGTATCTCCCTTAACAGTACCTAGGACCCTTTGGGGATCATCCCTCCTACACCCAATCCCGGCTGCTCTAAACCCTAAACCCCTACCACAACGGCCTCGGCCAGCGTCAGCATGGCCATGAACACACACTACTGCTGATGGACAAAATCCTGCATTACCCATTATAAGGAATATGCCATAATTTCCATAGTTTAGAGTCCTAAGGGTCATGCAGGATTTTGTCCATCAACAGTAGCATCAGCATCATCATGATTCCGTTCATAATAGTAACGGGGCGACGAACACTGGCCATGGATACTTAGACTCTATCTTCCAAGCGGCCCCAAACCATAAACTCCAAACCACAAACCCTAGACCCTGAACCCGAAAACCCTAAACTCTAAATTCAAGAGACTAAACTCTAAACTTCCGAAACCTAAGCTTACTTAGAGGCAAACGGGAAGAGGCCACGCCTCCATGCGTTGTAGGAACGGTCGGTCCATCTCCTGGCCGTTTCTACTTGGAGGTTCATGGGCATTTATGCAGGCCGGCTAAGGCTTAGGGTAAGGGTTTAGGGTTTAGGGGTTTAAGGCGGTTTTAGGGTTTTGGATTGAATAGGGCCTATAAGTAACATGACTGGTTCTAAGTTATAACCAGTCATGTTACTTAAGTGATAACCAATACTAATCAAGGGACACATAGCTCATACTCCGCGAAGGAGATGATGGGGGCTGTCTGACCTGCCCGATCCGATTTGGTTTCCTCCGGGTCAACCGCCCAAGATTCACTGAAGCGTGCAGCATGATTGCCAACGTGGCCTACCGTCAGAAGACGGAGGCGCGCCGCCTCGCGCAGCAAGGCCTCAGAGTCCTCAACTTCTTGTTTTGTGCCCGCGACAGAGACCAGGCAATGGCCCGGAAGGCACAGTCTCCGCTTCCGACCTCATGGAAGCCCCATCAGTCCGGGAGCTCATCGAGTAGCGGAGTGTCAGCTCGAGCAGCAAGCTCTTCATCAGACATGAGATCAACACCCCCATCAATCTGAATCACCGCAGCGTCGAAATGGGGCGGGCTGGAGAGGGGAGAATCATCGTCACCATCCCAGTCCATGGCCCCACCATGCCCAACCTATAACTACCCATGAACTTCCAAGTAGGGGCTCACGGGCTCCACCGAAAAGTAGCTATGAAAAAGGTAACTTAATGGAGCCATAAGAGAAAACAACAGGCGTCCGTACAGTCCATCCAGCATGCGAATCCCTTACATAGGGGTCTGAATCTGTGCTATTTTTGAGGGTTACCTGCTGCTATAACAAGTAACCTCACAGAACTGTCTTTCTATCCCTGATATGAAACAAACCCCGCGCGCCATGAAAACCTAGGAACTCCAAATTTAAAAGAACCCAACACCCGGATGGATCCCTGCAGCCCTGAAATGTAAAAACCAGCATGATCAGACTGAGGCTTGTGGTGGTGAATTTAAACTACAGGGGTACCCATCTCCCTGCAGGGTATTCATCTATACGACCATACGCGCACCCGAAAAGCAAAAGCGTACTACTAGGGAACCTAAACATTAGTAAAGCACCCTAGGCGTTACTCGAATAGTAGGCCCCGTTTGAACCCGATTCAGACGCTAATCAATCCCTATCGACCCATATCTAGACCTAAACCCAAAAGCCCTGAACACTGAACTTAAACCCTAACCCTGCAGGCCCAAGCCTCTAAACCACAAAAACCTAAACCCCTACAGGTCCTAAGCCCCCAACCCTGCACATGTCAGTCGCGGCCTCAGACGTCTCCTCTGGCCCGGGAGCGATAAGGTTGTCCATGCTGTGCCTGATGTACGGGCTATAAGAAGAAACCTTGGGCTTAAATTTGGGTTCCTTATGTGAATCCTACTATTTTGGGGTGATAGGCCCAAGGTTTCTTCATCAGGTTTCTACATTACTTGGAATAGGGCTCCTCCGTAGGGCTTCATACAAGGGTTAATGGAAGGGCTTGTGTGAAAGTTAAATGTACAAGCTAATTGAAGGGTTCTTTAACAGAGTTGCGCTGTCGTGCTGTGAAGAAATTAGACACTGCGGCGGGACGAATTTCGAAAATCCAGACTCTGGATTCCAAATAGGACTCTTGCTAATTTAATTTGCAAGGCTTGCGGGGTGATGCTGTTACCGTTAATCAGGGGCCTTGAAAAATCTTTAAGGCGCTTGTTTGCCTGCAACCTGTTGCGAAGAAAAAAGCATCCGTTTTGGTGCTGAAAGGCTTGCAGAACCCCTAAACAAAAGGTGTTTTTGCGCAGGCTCCTCGGAGAATCCCAAGTATGGTACCTTTTTTGCCGAGGCGTCGGCGAAAAAGGTCGCCTTTTTGGGTTCGACAACCCGGGAAAATTTCAAAACATGTGCCTGCTAGGGTTTGCGACGAAAGAAGGTACCCGTTTATGGAGGCGGGGGTCGCGGAAAATAGATACACATTTTGATTTTTGGCTCGAGGCCTGGGCAATCAAGACCAGTAGCTTAGTTTTTGCACCTCCTTACCAGGGACGCAGACGAGGAAGGTATACCTTTCTTGATCTACTTGTCCATTATCCTGGCTTTGGTAGGTGGGGTATATTGGGTTTATACAGTGTCTCACTCTTTTGTGGACCTCACCCCTCGGTGCCGTTGGCAGTTCGGTAAAGTCTGTGGAGTTCCACCCGTCAGTCCTTCTTCATCGCTCAGCCGGACCTCACGACATGGTGCCGATTGTTGCTCTTGCTGTGAGACCTGCGGATGTCGGAGCTCGAGGACCCAGCTGTCCTCGCCGATGGTGCGTGTGGTTGCAACTCTCTTCCGCGATCTGAATCTATGGCGGTCTCCATTGTGGGTCGTCTTCGTGCTCGAGGGAGCGAGTTTTGGCCCTCGCCAGCTGCTCTCGCTCCTCACAGGTGTCGGCCCGCTTCTGTGCTTTACCTTCTGCCTGTGTCCTCCGCATCCGTCATCGCGGCGCCCACCACGGCGTCCTGTGCGAGTCTACCAATTGCAATTGCTTCCTTCGGAGTCTCTCCATTGCGGGCACGACAGGCGCCTTCTGCAGTCGCTTTTTTTGTTTCTTCTGGGACATGACGTTCCCGGCCGTGAAATTCCAGTAGTCTGAAACACGTCGCACTTCTAGGAAAACTCCCCTCCGCTCTGTCTCGGCTCGAGTCCAATGATCACAATTGCAAGCAAAACCCTCTTTGGAAATCATCGGCTCGAACCTGCTGATATATACTGCCACCACTCCTTCTTCCACTTGCGGGCTGCCCGACGCAGTGAGCCCCAGCGCCTCGTCCGAGCTGCATTAATCAAAGTTATCTTCACCAGATTGTATTACGTGGTGGCTAGTTCCTGAAAGAAGAAAGCTAGAGGAGAAAGAAAATCAATGGAATGAGTTTAGAACTAAACCCTAAAAAGAATAGGTTTGGGTGGCCTGGCCGCCTCAGACGGCGTTGGGAGGGAGAAAAATGAAGCCCTCCAAAATCGAGCTATAACGACCACTCGTCACACTTCGACGCATTCGAAAAGACGCAGTCGCCGAACATTCTCGCCAATGCGATACTCCTCAGCAAACCCTAAACCAAACCCTAGACCCCCAATCCTAAACCCTAAACGGCCCTAAACCCTGAACCCTAAACCCTAAACTAGAAGAAACCGGACTCTTTGACCCCTGCCCTCCCCCACAGCAACAGCCCCTGCACCTGTACCGGTAACGTGCGGGTTAGGCTTCAGGGTTTACCCTAATGCTCCTGAACCCTCGTAGTGAGATCCCAAACCTTAGCCCCCAAAGCCCAAACCCTCGCCCACAAAGCCCCTTAGCGTATTAGGAGCCTTAGGGTAGGGCTAAAGGCCCGCAACCCCTAAACCCTAAACTTGGTCTTTAGGGTTTAGGGTTGCTTTGACTTCCCAAAAGCGTCCTAGGTACTGTCATGGTGGGGTACTTCCCCAAATCATAATTGTAATTCCCAACATACTACATGGGTACTTTGGACCGTTTGGGGTTTGGTGTTTAGAGTAGAAGCCAGAAAGTTGGAACATCATTATCCCCATGGCCTCAAGGGAAAGCATAAGGGATTCTGGCACCAATCCTCCTAAAGCCATGTTCCCACTTTCTGGCTTCTACTATGTGGGTGGTTGTAAAATTAGGGTCCCTTTTTGGGTCCTTCCTATAATACGGCCCCTAATACTTAGGGTACCCAAAACGGGACCATAATTTTGACAATTACCCATATGGTACGAGCCTCTCCCAGGCTTCCAGGACTTCTTCTGCCGCTATCGGCCGCATGCTCTGGATCCTCACCGACACTGCATGTCTTGCGTAAACCCTACCTGTATCCGAACACCCTACAAAATAGTAGGTTATGACCCCTTAACTCCTAAAACAGTAAGTTTTCGGATCCCCAGGTAAACCCTAGAAGACCTAAACCACTCAACCGCCTCTTACAAGCCTGTCAATATGTGCAACAACCCCCAATACTTGGTGGGCACATGACGTGGAGCCTTTGGGTATCAGCTTACTAGTGCACATCCTTGCTTCTATCAGTTGCGTCCGCTTTCACTGCCAAGAACGCTTAGGGCATTAGGGCTACAGCTTTCAAGACCAGTAAACCCTAGCACTAAATCCATAAACCGAGCTGTTGGTAGTCTCCATACTGCTGATGGACAAAATCCCCATAATAAGGAATATACCATCGTTCCCATAGTTTAGAGTCCTTAGGGTCATGCAGGATTTTGTCCACCAACAGTAGTACAAGCACTAAACCCACCCGCTGCCAGAGCTTTCCTGAAACTTTCCCTAAGCGGTACAGCGGTTTGACGAGTTGTGGGCTTATCACACCATGACATCTTCTAGGTATCCTCCCTTTGCTGGCGCACTTGCAGGGTAATAGTGTGAATGTGGAGCAGAAGATGAAGAAGACTTGGCAGAGAGGGAGCAGCAGCAGCAGCAGCAGCAGCAGCAGCAGCAGCAGCAGCAGCAGCAGCAGCAGCAGCATGACGACGACTACTTAAAGGATCATGGGAGTAAGTAACTAGGAATATTATTAGGGTAACTGTGCTTATATAAATACTACACAGCCCCGGCAAAAAGCCCTCAACCCTCAACCCTAAATCCTTGAAAACGAAGGTCCCCTGTACCGTCTCATCCACGTATGCCGCAATCTCTGAACCGAAGACGCGAAGCATGCACCACCCGAAACACCCAAGCCTTAAACTCCGTAAACCGAAACCCAAAAAAACACGAATAGCCCCACTATAGGGGCCTAAATCATTACCTACACTCTTTTGAGGGTTCCTTATTATAACTGTAGTATAACATCTTCAAAACGAATAGCCCTAACCCTAATAACCCTAATCTCGAGAGAAATGGGGCGGTTCTGACCATACCAAACAAGGATTCGCAAGGTCCTGGTCATCGAGCTGGTACCTGGCTTTAGAGCTCTAGGTTTAGGGTTTAGGGTTCTAGGGTTTAGGGTCTAGGGTTCTAGGTTCAGGGTTCAGGGGTTATTGTTCTAGGGTTTAGGGTCTAGGGTTCAGGGTTTAGGGGTTAGGGTTTATATAGTAAAGCCCAGAAATTTGGAAACCGGATTAAGGACAAATAGTGTTGGGATTCCCCATACATGACCCTCAAGGATTGAGGCTATTGGGTTTCCAACTTTTGGGCTTCTACTGTAGGGTTTGCTTAGGGTTTGACAGGCCGTTAGGGCTTCATGAGATTCAAGATTCTCTAGTTGATGGCTTGAGGTAATGTTCTACTTTAATTAGAGGACCATGGGACTTAGCAACTAGGGCTATCGCTGCGGGGTCTATACTTTGTATTACTACTTATAACTTGTAAACCGAACTAAGGCGCTGAAGACTGTATTTAAAAAGTCCTGTGACCCTCCAAGCATGGGTTTCATGACTGGGGACCGAACCTAAACCCTAAACCCTAAACCTTTGAAGGGTACCTTTAAGGGCCTCATCTGAGACTTCCTTTCAATGGCTTCTGGAGTCTAAGGGCCTGACTGATTGAATGGGCTCTTGTGATTTTTTCCAGTAGATTTGTATATACCGTAAACTGTAAACCCTGAAGCCTAAGACCTAAACTACTTCAAACCTTACTTATATTCCATACCGCACTGATATTGAGGAAGCCTAGGGAAGAGTGCCCGTGATTTCAATGCACAAGGTGCGGCTACTATTTCCCAAAGGGTCCTAGGTACTGTCATGGGGGATACTTCCCTTTCTGCTATAGGGTAGTTTGGACCCTTCGAGTCTGTACTTGGAGGATCATTGCGATTAATTTAGGCCCCAAAATTACGGTTTAGGGATGAGGGTCGATGAGTTTCACGGAACCAAGCCAGAGACCTTACTCCGTTACACTACAGGCCTCCACAAGCCTTTATCAAACACGGCTTTGGGCTTAGGGCTTAGGGGTTTAGGGTTTAGGGTCTCGGGTTGTGCCCACAAGCCTTTATTAAACACCTTTGGGCAGAGGCTTTGCCCTCACCACGGACCCCCAATGGCCTTTAATGGAGCCCTTATGGTCCTTGATAGTGGGTATTTAGGGTATGTGAGAGGGTAGTTGGGGGGTCTAAGGATTGTGGTCGAGGCTGTAACACGACATAAACGTCAACCCCGCATCCTAAACCCTACACCATACTGTCATAGGGATAGGGGGTGACGGGGGTAGGGGGCCTTAATGGCCACAATGAAGACTTATTAGTATATTCCTCTACCCCCTCTCCCCTACCCCGCCAAGGGTCCCCATAATGCTGTCGACGACTTAGGCTTCGGATGCATCTCTGGCCTGTTCCTGGTGCAATGGGATTCTTCGACTTCCCAGCCGGCAGTGGGCTCACCTGGGGCCTCCCATTGCGGTGGTTGAGGGCTTCAGGGTCCTAGGGTTCAGGGTTTAGGGGGGTGGGGGGTTTAGGGTTTAGGGTTGAGGGTTTCAGGTTTTAGGGTCTCGGGTCTTGGGGCTCCGGTATTCTGACAGGAACGGCATAGACAGAAATGACAATTGTAATCATGGTGAGTGCGCATCTGCGAGTATTTTACGGAAAAGTCTCGAAACTTCGTTCATTGGTCTTCTAAACCCTAAACCCTAAACCTTAAACCCTAAACCCCTAAATCCTAAACCCTAACCCCTAAACCCTAAACCCCTAAACCCTAAACCCCTAAACCCTAAACCCTAAACCCTAAACCCCTAAACCCTAAACCCTAAACCCCTAAACCCTAAACCCTAAACCCCTAAACCCTAAACCCTAAACGCTAAACCCCAAATCCTAAACCCTAAACCCTTCCTTGGCGTATATAAGAACAGAAGGCACGGCAAGACAAGTTGTCGGGCTTGAGGGCCGAGGGGCAACAGGTACCGGCTTAGGGTTTAGGGTTTAGGGGTTAGGATTAGTAGGGTTCCTTTAAAGGGATCTATAAGGGATCCTTAAGGGTTCCTTTAAGGGATCTATAGGGTTTAGGGGGTTTAGGATTTAGGGGCTTAGGGTTTAGGGGTTTAGGATTTAGGGGTTTAGGGGTTTAGGATTAGTAGGGTTCCTTTAAAGGGATCTATAAGGGATCCTTAAGGGTTCCTTTAAAGGATCTATAGGGTTTTAGGGGGTTTCGGATTTAGGGGCTTAGGGTTTAGGGGTTTAGGATTTAGGAGTTCAGGGGTTTAGGATTAGTAGGGTTCCTTTAAAGGGATCTATAAGGGATCCTTCAGGGTTCCTTTAAGGGATCTATAGGGTTTTAGGGGGTTTAGGATTTAGGGGCTTAGGGTTTAGGGGTTTAGGATTTAGGGGTTTAGGGGTTTAGGGTTTAGGGGCTTAGGGGTTTAGGATTTAGGGTTAAGGGGTTTAGGGGTTTAGGGTTTAGGGGTTTAGGGGTTTAGGGTTTAGGGTTAAGGGGTTAAGGGGCTTAGGGGTTTAGGGTTTAGGGTTTAAGGTTTAGGGTCTAGGGAACAATGTATGCAAGTATGTTTCTCCAGAACCCAGACTTTGGAGCCTAAACTCGCAGGGCCCTAGTGTAATGAATATATTTTCAACAGGCTGTGGGGGGGGCCTTGCGGGGTTCAGATCTTTTAAATTAGGCTTTGGGCTTTGGGTCTCCGCTGGTTCCGGGTTCAGGCTTTTCTGGTTTTGGGTCTCGGCTGTAGAGGTATTCTGGTTGTTCTCGCGTGCTATGCTTAAGGAACGCTAAGACGTACGATTCTAGACTCTAGTCGCTAAGGTCCATGTAAGAATGAAAGCACAGACTCTTCCTAAAACTGCATTGGCCACCGAACTACATGCCCCAAATACCAAAGAAACCTAAATAAACCTAAACCCTAAACACTAAACCCTAAAGACTAATGAAACCCTAAACCCCAGAATCCTAAACCCTAAACCCCAGAACCCTAAGCCCTAAACCCGAAACCCCAGAACCCTGAACCCCAAAGGACAAACGAAGCAGCGAGCCGGCCAAGAGCCCGACTTCATTCTTCAACGGCCATTAAACCCTCAACCGGGTAGGCATTAGGGACCAAATACCCAGTTTATGGTTGGGATAGTATTACAATCTAACCTTCTATTCCTTGTTGGGTTGAAGTACCCCTTAAAATGTAAAATGTTACCATGACAAAGATACCCCTATCTGAGGGTACTAGCCCAGCCTGCTCGCCGATGGCCACACGCTGGCACCTCAGCATGCAGTCCGGACTCGGGCGGCAGCTCCTGCCCTGAAGCACTATGCGCTAAAACCTCAAGTCCAAGTCCTAAACAAGAAAGGCTGAACAGTCGGGGATTTAGGGTTTACGATTTACCCGTCCCCCGTATGAGCTTGAACAGGTGCTGCAAATCCTAGACCCTGCCCCCTGAAACAAACTTGAAGGATTGTGGGACTGAGTTACTGGTCACAGACGAGGTTCGGAGTTGCAAGCACCCTAGATGGGGTGGCTCTACTTAATGACCCTAAGCCCCAACACCTCAACCCTGGCTCCAAAACCTAGAACCGAAAAGACTAAACCGCAAGATATCGAAGCCTATCCCCAAATCCTACAAAAATAGTAAGATATGACCCCTTAACCAAAGGCTCTAACCCCTAAAGCAATAGGCTTTTGGCCTCCTTCCCTAGGAATATAAGGATTCATATATCTCAAGGTTTTTGGGCCCAAAGACCATGCTGTAAAAGGCTTTTGGGGCTATTTTGATGCGCAAGGCTTCAGCCTCGATAGCCTTCTCATGCTCTTGCAGATTCTTCAGCCACTCCTTGGGGACTGAGGAGGGCCACCACTTCTGCTTCGCAAGCGACGGCGGTCCAACTAGACGA